AATAACTGATCCACTAACTAATTCATACAAAATCTATCGAAGAATTTTGTATCATATTGCCATTGGTCAACAAATACATGTAGTCAATATTTTGAATAGTTCCTTGACGCTGAAATATCTAGATGTATAGCTGTATCTAGAGAATACATTCTGGTTATTATTTTTCGATTTATTTATTTACTTAGCACATATTTTCAGATTTAAATAAAAATGGCAGCGAAAATATAAGCTCCACAACTTTCTCGAAATGTAATGCGGGGTCACATGACAATGGCAAGGCGGAAGTCATAATCAGAAATGTTTTATCCGAAAAGCGAACACGATGTGAGAAGTTAAGGGAAGGATGATGTATAAAAGAACGGGGAGGAGGGTAAAGGAAAAAGAAAGAAAACAGCATTTCAATTGGAATAAAAAGAAAGATACTTATATTATGGAAAACGAGAACAAATGAAGCGTAACCAAGATTGCTAAGATAAGTGTAATGTAGAATTTAATCTTTTAAGTGAAAACATTAAAAGTCTATTTACATATTTTCATTGAGTATTATTTTAAGTATATATATATATATATATATATATATATATATATATATATATATATATATATATATATATATATATATATAAATATAAATGAATATATATAAATGAATATATACAAAAACAGACCACTTTTAAGGTACCATTGTAATAATTTATTTCACCAGAGAATTTATTATTCTCTGGGTCTTCAGACTTCACTTTCAAGTTTGAAAAAATAAAATTAAAATTTACACTTTTGAAGGGCAGTATTAATCTTATATAAGGTGACATAGAGGGTGATGAGGGATAGTGTGAGAGACATGGTAGACATTAGGGAGGGAAGAAAGAGTTTTAGAATTTATTTTTATTTTAACTAGAATACTTAATATTGAGGAGGAGCAGAGTTAAAGACCAGACAATGACCAATTTAATCGGTCAACTCACCGGAATTGATATGGAAATATATATATATATATATATATATATATATATATATATATATATATATATATATATATATATATATATATCACTTTGATAAGACACCGAGTGTGTTGAAACAAAATGGCTATTTTTGTAGTGATTTTATAACATACTTATGTTAATTTTTTTATAAATAATAATTATATCTGCTCTACTTTGTATTGAGCACTCTTTTAAGAATAGTAATTGTTGGTTATTGAATTCATTCCGTATATACCAATTATATACTTGGGTATATATATATATATATATATATATATATATATATATATATATATATATATATATATATATATATATATATATAGATAGATAGATAGATAGATAGATAGATAGATAGTATTAGTGGTTAATATACACATACATATGAAATCATATCTAAACTAGATAAATATATATATGCATACATACTTACATACATACATACATAGAATCCAGGTAGAACTCAATGTCCAGGATAGAGTAAGGATATAATAAAAAGGCTTAAACACTACTATTCCATGTAACATCTCAGAAATATGTCATAAAGCCGGGAACAAACTTGTATACATATATATATATATATATATATATATATATATATATATATATATATATATATATATATATATATATATGAAGGGAGACACAGAGAATGGAATGTTTGACTGTTCATTTCGAGTATGACCAAACAGTTGGTGTAGAAGTAGCGGTTGTATTTAGCTATTTCAACAGTATTCAGGTGGGACCTATATGTCAATTGAGTAGCACGCTTAAATTCATGTAGTCGGGACACCAGGGACAGAAAGGTTATCAGATCAGCTGCCATGAAAATATTCGGAGAAAAAAAAGAGGACCTGAAGAATCCGAAATCAACAGACGTTCGGTGAGTCGCGCTGGTAATAAATTTTCCACTTTGTCTCAACATCTTCATCCATAATCAGCTACTTGACAAATCTTTTACTCAATCTCTGTTGAACAAATACAAATATCCCTGAGATGTATAGATATATATATATATATAAAACATATATTATAAATATAGCAGACAGCGAATATCTGTTATATTTGATCCTGAGCCTTTGTAAACTCCGTATAGTTGCATTAATTTCGGTTGAAAATAAAAACAAAAATTATCCAGTATTTGGATATATTTTTATTATGCTGTTCCTAGATCTAAGCTTTCGGCTTACATGAGCCATCTTCAGGAGTGGTTATGCAGACATTTAAACAAAGATATTCACCGTAAAAGATGATATTCAATTATGTTTACATAGAAGATTGCGACGACAACGGTCGCAGAATAGCAGAGGCAGGTCGTAAATACATCATGCGTTGCTATGACGTCGTACCACGTGAGATACCGAAATATTAACAACCGAACCATATGTCTAGATGCTATGCTATTAATTCTCTTACGCTTTCTTCTTTCTCAAATCATTCAGTTGATTTATTTGTCTGCTAATTGCTTCTATGTCGACCTAGACTTTTCGATCTGAATCATTAACTTCAAATATCTGCTTCCATTTCATTTTTATCTTTTCCCTTAATACCTGTCCATCCATATCGGTCTATTTAGAAATATCTGTCAATTTCAGTTTTTTACAGAAACATCTATGTCAACCTGTTCATAGATATCTCTCTGTCGCAGTCTGCTCAGAAACCTCTGTGTCTCTGTTGTGAAATATCTAGCAATGTTGCGGACCCGGTAGCGTGCAGTGCTGGTTTATTAAAAGGTGGCCTTGTGCCAGACACTACACAAAACTACCGAATCCACAAGCAATGTAGAAATATATTGCGGGAGTGAACTTAGTGAGGAAAAGGGGTCAATCAACAAGTGTATAAATAATAATACAAGTAGATAGCCGGAATTAAATGACAAAAGGCGTCTGGTTGAAAAACATGAAATTTTATTATATTTAAACAAGTAATTGTCTTGTTAGTTGAGACCATTAGTAAAAGTGTTCCGCGCCAAAACCATATGTCTAGATGCAATATAATGTGTTGCGACTATTTTGAAATGTAATTTTGTTGAGTGTGGGTTTCATTGTTTTAATGTAAATGGCTTTCAATATCTGAAGCTTCTTTTTACTATATATATATATATATATATATATATATATATATATATATACTTCACCGATATCACGATATGGATTTTCATGCACAACGGATACTTTTGATGGTGAGTAAATATTGACAGCTAGATAATTTAAAGTTTTATAAAAATATCTGGTTAAGGCAAGTAGACATTGAAATCACCACCCATCCTCGGCAACAATGACCCTCCTTCATTTTCCCCGCCCCAGAATCTCAGCAGAAGACCTCTTCCATAATTCTGTTCTCTGCTGTGGGTATTTTAGCTTTGTACGGCATGTACGGTGTTGAAACAATGGTCCTTCAACTTCAATATAATTTAGACGAATTAAAATTAGTTTGCGTATTCATTGCATATTCTCTAAATGAATATCTCTTTTTGTCAGTTGTCCGCAATTGTAAAGATTGCAGAACCGTTGCAAACCGATATCACAAAGTATCTTGGTACAAATGTAGGAGATTGATATGCGACGATACAGGTCGCGGAACAGCAGACGCAATTCAAAAATTCATGACATCGTACCACGCGAGAGATCAAAATATTAACAACAGAACCATATGTCTAGATGCAATATATTGTGTTGTAACTAGTTTGAAATGTATTTTGCTGAGTGTGGGTTGCTTTTGTTTCAATGTAGATGGCCCCCAGTATCTGAAGGTATATATATATATATATATATATATATATATATATATATATATATATATTTTCTTTCCCTAATAGATCATCAGATCGCACTTCCAAAAGATGAAACGAAATGAAATGAAAATTCATACTCTTGATGGGTAGTTTTTGTAATTTAACAAAGAGGGTAGCGAGGAGTGATGTGAGAGACATGGTCGAGTTTAGAGAGGGTTTATTTAATATTTCTTTCAATCATACTTAGTATTGCGGGAGGAGGGACCAGACCTTGATCTATTTAATCTGTTAACTTAACGGAAGTGATATATTGAAAAGGGAGGGAAGAAGAGAAAAAAAGGAAAAAGACAAAAGAAAGAAGAGGGAAGTAAAGAGAAAAAGGCTGTAAATAGGTTTCACGTAAGGAGGAGAGGGTGGTATAGTTTTATCACTTTATGTAAAAAAATAGATTTTAATGTTTAATAGTAATTTAAATGTCTAAAGTTTTACTTAATATATATATATATATATAAACAAAAACATTAAGATTTTCTACAAAATTCAAATGCATAGAAGCTATAGTCAAGAAGAATCTTCATTGAGAAACATCATAAAGAATTGTACAAACTCCAGTCGACAAAAGCAAGAAAATTAAATTAGTTATTTATTATAAAATTTTAAAACCGCTAACCTCATCAAATAATAATTCACCTGCAAGATACAAATTACAGAAAACCAATGTTATTTACAAATCTACATGATACTTAAGGTGCTGTGTTCTTGACCAATCAAAATTTGTAAATTATTATACTGAATATGCTTCAACACGTTTAACAAGAAGACTCACCTTACATCTCTCTGGCCATAGTTCAATTTGGTCTCATTAAAATACATACGGAAACATATCAAACTCTATCTGTCACGTATAATAACGTACAAAGATAATACAAATATAATAACATCATCCACATGTACAAAAAGGCTGGAATCATTATTAATACTAATAACTAATTATTATCAATTATGAAAACGGCCACAATGTTCTGACAGTTTTGGGGAAATAAAACATTCCTATAACTCTATATATATATATATATATATATATATATTCCTGTTTGACCGAAAAAATTCGACATTTAAATTCTCCGAGGACTTATCCATATAACTAGTACAGAGATACAGAAATGAATTTCTCGAAATTTCATAAAATTAAATACGTGGGAGGGGAAGGGGGTCAGATGTCAAAAACTATCTTTTATATAAAAAAAGAAAAAATCAGAACTAAATACGTTCATCTGTGA